ATTCCAACAATGTTGCAGCTTTGTAAGTGAAAGAGTTCTAGCATTTACTTGCTGTTTCTGTCGCGTTCTACTCTGTGGTATATAATAATGGCGGAAAAAGATAATGACCAATCTTAGCTGCACTTATTCGACTATCAGAAACATTCTACAGCTTGCTGCTCAGCTCGCACGTTCATAGATGTGTGGAACGAATTGTTGATATGATTATATGTAATTAAAGGAGTTTACCACTTTATAGTAATCACAGAGCTCAACTCCACGCTTTTAAACAGTGGAAGTTATAGGTTATTCGCTTTCATAACCTTTCGACATCGAGATTAGCTGAGCTTCAGAACATATACGCCTCAATTCAGATTCCAAATTTGACCACAAGGCATGTTCAAAAATTGAGTTGCACTCAAATCATACAAAAGATAATGGAAAGGGATTGAGAACAAAGAAGATATACGTCCATTAACTGGATCAGCTGTTGTAGGCTTTGTATTTAAATATGATTGTAAACTAAACCCTTAATTTAGAAAGCTACTGTGAGATCATCTCATATTGCAGTACATTGTTGAAATCAAAAACTTCTGCTGTTAACTGAGCGATATACGTCATCTCTCATAGTGGGGTGTGGCCAGGACCAGTGCTTATCACAATAAGCCTATTATGATAGTGAGTATTGGTGAAATGGAAGAAGTTTAAGGTACGTTAACGTCCTTATTCCTTGAATTTGTCCATAGAAGACTAAAAGGTGCCATAGTGAGGACGAATTTTATTACCAGCTTGATCAATTTGGGCTCAAAAGCATCAAACTTTAACCTAGAAGGTAAACACCGAAGATCTTTGTGCTTAAATGGTTGGCTAGGCCATGGCCTTGTGGAGATTGTATACTTGCTCAAAACTCTAACTAACAACATATTTCTTCGATTCCTTGAAAAAGATGATTTATGAAAGGTGAAAGATTAATTTTTGCATTATTGTTATTTGCCTTGAATATTCTTGCTAGGCAAGAGTTTTCAAAGCAAATAACAGCAATGCAAAAGGACGTCACACACATTTTTCCCTGTTTTCTTTCCTTGCATGCTAACACTATGAAGCGGCTGTCAATACGATAGCTATATGGTGATGTCAGTAAAATGTCACTGACATTCTCATTGCATAGTTATCTAACTGATAACAGTTGCTAATAGGAAAGAGTTCTTTTTCAACCATTCATCTTCCTATCAAAAGCACCGAATTTCAATATTGTGCGTTTCCAGACCATTATCCCCTTCGTTTTTCAGTTATTACTAATGTTCACTAAGGGCGAAATAGCGAGTTTAATAATCGGCGTTGTGTGTCTTATTGCCTCTATAGTAATGTTCTTCACATTTCCCATTATCTATCCTCAAATGGTTGTTAAGGTAAATATCCATGCCATGGTACATTTATTTCTTAAACCTTCTTCGATCATTGCAGAATCTGCAATTCATCCAAAATAACGATGGAAGTCTTGGCTATTCAGCTCTTAAAATGGCTAATCCACCAATGAGAAATATTATGAAATTCTACTTTTTTAACATAACAAATCCAGACGAAATGGTCTACGAAGGTGCTCAACCACGTCTTAGTGAAACAAAAGCTTATGCAGTAATGTAAGTACTTTAACTTTTTATAGAAATTATTTATAGATGTTGTAATAGATCAGCCGATTCAAAAGATGCTTTTTGGTCTTTATCAAAGATTTTTTTTTGCTTAATATGAGATGGACGCATAGATTGCTTATCAGCAAGGTGCTTTCTTATGTACCAAAATCAGCTACGCTTTTGTCCTTTATGCTATGCAATATAGTCACGCCATTGAAAGCCACCACTGTTCATAAGCGCTGCCAAACATTTCAAAGATCTATGGGAATTCTATGGTTTCTA